AGTTGTGGCACACGGGCTTCAGTAGTTGCAGCATGTGGGCTCTAGAGTGCAGGCTCAGTAGTTGTGGCGCACGGGCTTAGCTGCTCCGTGGCATGTGGGATCTTCCAGGACCAGGGCTTGAACCCGTGTCCCCTGCATCGGCAGGTGGATTCTTAACCACAGCGCCACCAGGGAAGCCCCTCTCTTCTGTTTCTTTATAAGGTGTCTGATGGCCAGAGTTTCTCAGTGGGAATTAAGTTGGTTTCAGCAATCTTATAGTTTATGTTTAGTATTTTAAAAATCCTATTTAAGAAATTTTTTCCAGTTCTAAGGTCATAAAGAAATTATCCTATATTGTCTACTGAAGCTTTTAAAGTTTCTCCTTTTGCACTGAATCTGTAGGCCACCTGGAAGTGATTCCTGTGTGGTGTGTGGGGTATGGGACCAATGCACCTTTCCCCTTAGATGACCTGATGTCTCAGCTCCACTGACTAGTCCCTCTCTCCCCCAGCCTGCTGTCACACATCGCGCTTTCAAACCTGTGAGCATCTGTTTCTGGGCTTGGATCCCCAAGTTCTACTTCTAGTACTTTGCTCTAAGGAGTAGCTCAGGACATGTGGGGATATTCCATTATCGCACTAATCTTTGAAGCATTGTTGATAATATTGAGCAGGAAGCGTTCTAAATGTTCCAGCAGTGGGAGTGTGTTGAATGATACACGCACATCACTACAGTGAAATACTCTGTAGCAGACAAAAATATATTTACTAATATGGAAGGCTGTTGACAACACATTAGGACAGAAGGAATAGGAAGTTCATGTACAGTATAATTCCAAGTTCATAAAAAGTTAAGAAACATGCAAATTAAAAAAACAACCTACCATCTTTGCTTCCTCCTCCCATCCGGGTCACATTCATTGCCCTTTGATCTGGCTTTGCCCTGGGTCAGGTCGAGAGTCTGCTCTGGCGGCGGGTCCTCAGTGACTCCTCACGGACCTCTCGTCTGGCTTCTCCTGGGCCCCACTGATGACCTCACCCGTGCACTCGACCTCAGCCCTTAGCAGATGTCATCCACGATGACTTCTCGGTGCTTTCTCATCTGCTCCCCTGGTTTTGTGCCACTTCCTTCTTGTCTTCCGTTTTGGACTCCCACCTCCTCTCTGCACCTGATGTTCGTGTCCTGGGGTTCCCAGTTCCTTGAGCCTCTTCTCATTCCATTCCTTCCCCATAAGGGACTTCATTGAGGTGTCTCCCCCTTAAACTTTATCTTGTGCCCCAACCGCATTATCTGCTGCTGGCCCTCCACTCAGCTCCCCCAGGCGTCTCCGGCGTCCTGAGTCAGCACGTCTAAAACGAAGGCCACATCCTCCCCCAGGAGACCCCTTGGGATCATCCCCTTCACCCCGTCTATGGTTTGTCTTCTTTCAAATGCTCTCATGCCTGTGACTGTGCCTCATCCTCCCAGGTGCTCCTGTCGGTTGCCGTCTTATAAGAGTTTCTGGAGTGTCCTGCCTGCCTCCTCATTTCATCCCCACTCCCTCTTCTCCACATTGTGGCCAAAATCATCTTTCTTTTTTTTTTTTTTTCAAAATCATCTTTCTTAAGTAAAATGTACATCCTGAGATACCGCCCCCTGATTTGGGGGCCCTGTGACTGGGAGGTCTGGCTGTCAGTGATCTGGGCCCTTTGCCCACCTTCCCAGCCCTCTTGGGCTCTGCCTGCAGCCTGTAGGAGGCTGTGGACCTCTCTGCCTGGCCTGCTCAGACCCCTGCTCATCTTCTAAGACCTGTTCTGGGAAGCCTTCCCTTGTGGGGGAATTGTTCCCTCCCTGGCGTCCTGTGTCCTCTGTCCTCCTCTGGTCTGAGCTGTCCCTGGAGCCCTCTGAGCCACTGCTGCTGCCTGTCTGGGGAGGGCACAAAGGGAGGGTGAGAGCAGGAGCTCCCACTGCCTTTGCAGAGAGGGGTCATCCTCCCCCATGACTGGTGAACAGGGCCCCAAGGCAGGCCTGACCTCGGCTTCTCTGCCCACTGGTTTGCAAGCTTTGGAAGGGCCTTTCCGGAGCTGCCTTACTCCGTTCTTTGCTCCTGAGCAGGATGACTAGGATGCGAGCTTCGCCTGTGGCAGGTGCCTGGGCCGCCTCACCTGTGGCTTGGGCGTGTCTCTGTCAGTCAGTGGGCGGCTTTGGCTCAGGATGAATACCCTGCCGTCTTCCATCCCGCAGCCCAGCTTGGGATTTGCATCCTCTCCGTTTGGAGGGGGGCCACATGCTCCACTTCTCACTTACTTGCCGCTCGGATTCTCAGTGCCTGTGTGTGTTGCAAATCTGTCCTTTGTCCCTGATGGTAATGAAGGTGCCCCGGATGGCTTGAAGGACAGAGTTGGCCCTGTTGTTTGTGCAAAGAACTTGACAAAATGATTCTAAGAGCCTGGCTGACCAGCATAAGCGACCAGTCCCTCTTGGGTCTGGGTTTGGGCTTCTGGTTCTCTGCTCCGGTGGGCGTGAGGAGGAGCCCTGCCAGCTGAGCAGTTTCCTGTGGGTGCTGCTTACAGGCTGCCAAATGCAAAGCACAGCAGATTAGTCAGGGGTGTTCTTTTCTTGACCACTTTTAGTGCATTGCTTTTGACTGAGTGTTAAAAATATTCTGCAGCATATCTATAGTCTTCCACTAGCAGTGAATAGGAGAAGAAATGCAGTTTCTGAGAAAGCTTCAAAGAAATACTGGTCTTTATCTTTTCCCCAGCCTTTTCCGCTGAAACCCACCAGAGTCTTTTTCTGAGCACTGTTGTTCTATAAATAGAACAGCAGCTCTCCTTGGGTAGCCCAAGATCGCAGCTCTCATCCGCTCTCTGAAAGATATGTGTCTCTGTGTGTGTGTGTGTGTGTGTGTGTGTGTGTGTGTGAGAGAGTGGATTTTGGTTTAATTCTGCTTTTCTTTTATGTGTGACATGTGTAGCGGGAGATGCAAGAAAAATACGCTAGCATTTATCCTTTAAAGATAACTTCTTATAACTTTTCTGGGTCTGGGCTTGTTGGTTTTGGTGCCTTTTTTTTCCTATTTTCCTTTAATTTGCATTTGGGAAAGAGGTGGAAGTGATGACTTCTTCTGCAGAGGTAAGGAAGACGTTTGGGGGTGAGGAGAGGTGACTTGGTCTGTGAGCGGGTCCTGCGGGGTCCAGAGGAAAGGCTCTCCTGGAGAGCTGAGCAGGCGTCTTGTGTGTGCTCCGTTGGGCAGTCAGCTGTCCTGTCTTTGAAGAGCACATTGAAATAGCATCACCATGTGCACTTGGGTCTGAAAAGAATCTTAGGAAACAACCTAGCAGTCCTTCTGTATTGCAGGAGCTCCTGGGACCAGAGGTTGGGACTTTCTCTCTGCCTTGGATCGGCACATATCTCTTACCTTGATCTTGGGTGATGTGTTCCTCTCTCCTTAATTACCTGGAAGAACAGTGGGTGGCCTCCTCAGAAGTAAAGGTGAAGGTGCATGCCACAGAATGAGTAGGGCGGTTCCTCACTAGTCCGTCCGTGTCCCCACCCCCCCCCCCCCCCCCCCCCCCGCCAGAGTTGATTCTCTAGGGAATTGGAAATGGTTGCTCTTTGTGCTGCTGAGCCAGCCCTGACTGCACAAATTCCATCAGACCCAGCATGGGGTCGCAAGCTGGCATGTGCAGCCCACTGTGCCCAGGAAGCTCCAAGAGGACGTTGTGTGGCAGGGATAAGGGGAGGAGCAGTGCTGCCGGCCTCCCAGGACACCTGGAGCGTGGGCTGTCACGGGGAGGTCCTGGTGCACAGCCAGATGCTGGTGGTGTGTGTAGGGGGTTGTCTTCAGCATTCTTCTACGGGGGTATCAGTGCATCGCAGGTTCCACTCCTGCGGAGGGACCAGGCAGCACAGACTTCTGCTCTTGCCTCTGACACATTGGGGTGACGTAGGGTTTCTGTGTCTTGTTTCATCGTATGTCGTCTTAAGTGGCCACAGACGCCCAAGTGCTTTGTACAGCTACTTAAAAAGTTACCTAAAGTGCAGAGCTGTAGGGGATTGGGTAATTAAACAAAAGCTTCTCTGGACCCATGTTCTTGTCCTTGAACAGAACTTTATACATTCTGCCTCCATCGCATGGTGGGCCTCCGTGTAGAATGGACATTTGTTGAGGTGTGTGCAGATGCTGGAAGCCAGGCACTTGTTTCAGGGCACCTTGTTTATTAGTTTTGACTGTGTTAGTGGCTCTGCGTAGTTCAACGCATCTAACGATCAGGTAGGTCCTTGAACTTTTAACTTGTAAGTGGTGTGTAGGGCTCCCTCCTCCCGTTTGGTAAGTGCCCAGGAAGCAGCCTCAGGAGAAGCCATGCCCCCATTCTTGGCTTTAATTGAGCTGAGCTGAGTGGACTGCTGTTCACCTCGTGATTGTCTTTGAACTCCTGCTTGGTGGTGGTTGGTCAGATTTTGGGGGTGGAGGAGTTTTAGTGACTTTGGCAGTGGCTCTTCTCTGTGTTACAGTGTGGGTAGATGCACATGCCCAGCCTGTGAACAGGGGTGAGGGCCCAAGGGGGCAGGCCTGGAACTGCACTGAACCCCATAGCAACCTACATCGACAGTTTTGGCAACAGGATCCTGAGAAATGGCAGGAGGCCAGAGAACACGGAGACGGGGCCAAGAATAGCTGAAAAATACCAAATGCTGAAGTTGGAGAGAGCACTGGCCCGGGGCCACTAATGGTGGTCCTGCGACCCGCTTCTGCTAACCCCCCCCCCCGCCCCGGGGGCATATGCAGGGCACACCTTGGGCCTCTGACACACTCCCATGCCCCTCCCCCCGCCACTCTGGCACACCATCGCCCCCTGGAGAATTGTGTCACCCTCCCCTGGCTGTGTGCTCAACCTGTCCATAGGTCAGGGTCTGGGGAGAGTGTGAAATAGTTCTGTTAGGCCATCAGCCCATTAGAGACACAAATGCACTGGAGTCAGTGGACAAGCGCATGGCACCGCGAAAACATGCTCATGAATCCGTTTCTGTGCTTTCAGACCGTCATCAAAGAGGGGATGCTGACCAAACAGAACAATTCATTCCAACGATCAAAAAGGAGATACTTTAAGCTTCGAGGGCGAACGCTGTACTATGCAAAAACTGCCAAGGTGAGATGCAGAGGAGGAAACTTAACAAGAGAAAACTATCTGAGGAGCTGCAGGGAGAGACTGGGTTCTGTGTCCTCATCTTGGGAAAAACCTTCGATTCTAGATCTGTTATTTTGAGCAAGTTTTGTAATACTCAAGGGTGCTGGGTTTTATTTGTCTCAAGCATGTTTTATTTCTTATGAACTGATTTTTTATTTCTTATGAATTGATTTTTTTATTCATTTTCTTTAATGTCATGTGTAACCAATGGGGAAAGGAGAAAAGGTCACAGAAGTAACCACATTACCATTAGATATCTTTTTTTTCAGAGAAATCGGGGGTAACTGGCTTAAAAATCTCTTATTACAGCCTAAGTATCTTTTTCTTAAAAACACTTTAGTAAGGTATAATTGGCCTACAAAAAGCTGTACAGATACTTACTGTATACAACTTGATGAGTTTGGAGTTGAATGTATGTACCTGTGAATCTAACTAAAAGTATTTTTAAAGTGTGTTGGGCTTTTTGGTGTGTGAATAGAAATTGCCTCTGGCTTTCTAGCCATGATCCTTCTTCCCATGTGCCATGTGTGTAAGATTTAAAGCTAGAATCACCAGGCAGATGCCAGTGACAGAGGAGGAGCCACTGAGAGTCCCTGAGTCACTGCCCAGTTTAGACGATTGTGGTGTCACACACTTCAAACACTAGCGTATCTGCAAACCTAGTTTTTGGTGTTCTGAATACCAGTCTTTTTGTATCAGTATTGCAGTCAATACTAATATTTCGGCATTAAAAATAATCGGGAATCTGAATAATTTACATTTTGAGATGTATCCCTAGTGAGTTAGTGCATTAAAATTTGAAATTGAACAGAGTAACTTGTTTAGATAGGGTTCTGACCACATCCTTCATTAAAAAAAGACAAACCCTTACAGTTATTTTAGTTGGAGGGGTGGGGGAGTTACTTAAAAGACTGAATCTCTTTTCTAGCTTATTAGCGTTTCCTCCAGGGGTTTCTGATGGAGTCCTCCTCCTAGAGGGGACGGAAAGGTAAACAGGAGGTGAGGGCTATGAACGGGAGGATTTGGGAGAGAGAGGAGAGGAAAATGGGGAGGAGGGCATCTCAGACCTGGTTCCCAGCCCTTCTTCTGGAGCCTGTCTCTCTCTCCAGGACTAGATTCACTCTGCTCTGCTCCCTTGTTTTCTTTCATGGCTGGGTCCCTTCTATTTAGGTCAGTCTCTCTTCCCCTAGAATTGTTTATTTTAGCCGGGACCTCTCCCCCCAAATGTGCGAGGTGGAGAAACTAAAGTCGGAAGGACAGAGGACCTTCAGTCGGGAACCTGCCCTCTCAGGTGGACTCGTGTGAGGATATATTTTTGGTTCCATTAATGCAATCACTGGGGAACTCCCTGGACTAAAAAAAAGTCTTGAGCTATACCTGTGAGCTCGGTGCTTTGTCAGAAGCAGGTAGGGTGAACTCACTCAGCGTTCATTTAGTTCTCAAGTGCTTGCCTGGGGTCGAGACACCTTACCCCCACTGACTGCAGTCCCTGTGTCTTTCCAGTCGATCATATTTGATGAGGTGGACCTGACAGACGCCAGCGTGGCTGAATCCAGCACTAAAAATGTCAACAACAGCTTTACGGTAAGTCTTTGGACGCACACCTTTCTTGATTCTTCACCACATGTGGTTTTCCTGTTTAATTTGAACAAATGTGTGTGAGCAGTTCAGATTTTTCATCCTTTGCTCTCTGATTGGAACAATTCGTGGTAAATTTTGAATTTAAGGTTCAAAATAATGCTATGGTTGGAGAATAACTGAGAATTTTGCACATTAAGCACAAAAGAACAAGAGGGACCAAAGGAATTTTTAAAACATGTTGTAGTTTACATTTACAATTTTGCACAGAGGTTTGTTTTTCATGATTGTTATAGAAAATTTGGAAAATACAGAAAATGTTGAAGCAATTAAAAAACAGCCATCAGGGGACTTCTCTGGTGGCGCAGTGGTTGGGAATCCGCCTGCCAATGCAGGGGACACGGGTTTGATCCCTGGTCCGGGAGGATCCCACATGCCGTGGAGCAACTAAGCTTGTGCAATACAACCACTGAGCCTGCGCTCTAGAGCCCGCGAGCCACAACTGCTGAGGCCTGCGTGTTTAGAGCCCATGCTCTGCAACAAGAGAAGCCACCGCAGTGAGAAGCCCGCACACTGCAACAAAGAGTAGCCCCCGCTCACCGCAACTAGAGAAAGCCTGCGCAGCAACGAAGACGCGACGCCGCCAAAACTAAATAAATTAAATAAATAAATAAATTTATATTTTAAAAAAGCAGCCATCATTCAGCCACCTCAAAACATAGAATGTTGATATTTTTCTTTTTAAAACTCCTCCCCCCACCACATTTATAGAAATTATGTTGTACTTTCTGCAAAAGTTCTAAATGCGTAAAATCGTGTGACCTCAGTACCCAGAGGTAGCCAGCTGCTCACTTTAGAGTGATTATCTTTATGTCTAAATATCTATGTCTTTACCCTCTTTACCCACATATAACATGAGATCGTAGTGATCCTTTTGTTTTACATGTTTAGTTTTATTTTTTTCTCTTGACAGTTTATGGTGGACATTTCCCCATGTTGATTGATCTAAGTGTTCATCACATTTTTTAATAGTTGTACAGCATTTCTTGTATGACTTTACAGTTTTGGCTTCGGGGGCTGACTTTAGATCCTGATGTGTAAGGTATGACTCTAATAGCAGGAATGGAATATTTTAAAATATTTTTCATTGTGTTATTAAGTGAGCTTATCTAGAAATACAGTATGCTCCCTACCTTTTTTCAATTCTTTTATAACTCAGTCAAGGTGGGTAATTTTCTTCATTTTTTTTTTTTTTTTTGCGGTACTCGGGCCTCTCACTGTTGTGGCCTCTCCCGTTGTGAAGCACAGGCTCCGGACGCGCAGGCTCAGCGGCCATGGCTCACGGGCCTAGCCGCTCTGCGGCACGTGGGATCCTCCCGGACCGGGGCACGAACCTGTGTCCCCTGCATCGGCAGGCGGACTCTCAACCACTGCGCCACCAGGGAAGCCCTCTTCATGTTTAGGATCTAAACATTTTGGGTTAGTATTAGTTTTAGCTACTTTCAGGTTTTTTTTAACTTGTTTATTTATGGATCGATTATGTTGCTGCTCCAAATGGGATTTTCCTTCCTTCATTTAAACTTCTACTTATTTTGTTTTGGTGTAATTAACTGCTCTTGGTTTTACTTTGTGGCTTATCGAATTAGTCAGACTTCCCTGACGGCCTCTTTTATTTTATTCCCCGTTTTATTTGGACTGTTTTTACTTTTTCTGCATTAGTTTTATCATTTACTTACTGGCTGGGGAGACAACTATGGAAGTAGATTATTCTTTGATTTATGGCTTCTAGAGTGTCTAATAGGAGTAGGTGTTGAATTTCACTGGATTGTTTTGAACATTAATTTAGATGATCAGTTTGGTTTTAGGTATTTGTACATTTCATAATAATAAATTGTTCCTGGTAATGTTGAATGTTATACCCTAATTTTGGATTTAGAATTTTCTGAAAGCATGTGTGTGCTTTTCTTTGGGTAGGAGGTAGCCTTTGTTGTGTTTTGATTTCGGAGTTAAACTAGCTCCATAAAATCCATTTAGTAACTGTCCATGATTTTTTGTGCTCTGGAACATTTTTATAGCTTTAGAGTTGATTATTTCTTGAAAGTTTGAGAGAATTTACTTTTCAGGGAGGTAATAAGGCTCTGAATAAACCTAAAAGGTTTATTTCAATTTTAAAAAAATATTTATTTATTTATGGCTGCGTCTGGTCTTAGTTGTGGCACGTGGGATCTTTTGTTTTGGAGCGCGGGCTCTTCCTTGCAGCACGCAGGCATCCTCTCTAGATGTGGCGTGTGGGCTTAGTTGCCCCGCAGCATATGGAATCTTACTTCCCTGACCAGGGATCGAACCCACGACCCCTGCATTGGAAGGCAGATTCTTAACCACTGGACCACCAGGGCAGTCCCTAAAAGGTTTGTTTTTGCTTTTTGATCATAGGAACTTTTTTACTTCTTGAGTCCATTTTTGTATTTACTTTCCCATTTATTCCACACCTTCAAATTTAGTAACATTTATTGTTTGCACTTTATTTTTATTTATTTATTTTTGGCCATGCCGTGTGGCATGCGGGATCCTAGTTCCCCGACCAGGGATTGAACCCACGCCCCCTGCATTGGAAGCACGCAGTCTTAACCACTGGACCACCGGGGAAGTCCTGCACTTTAAACATAAATGTCTCTGGTTAGATCCCCTTTCACATACCTAATTTTACTTGTTTAGCTTTTGTTTTTCTTGTCATATTTCTCTCTTTTTAAAAATTTTATTGAAGTATAGTTGATTTACAATGTTGTGTTAATTTCTTCTGTATAGCAAAGTGATTGTTACACATATATATATTCTTTTTTCATATTCCTTTACATTGTGGTTTATCACAGGATATTGCATATAGTTCCTTGTTCCTATACAATAGGGCCTTGTTGTTTATTCATTCTATATATAATAGTTTGCATCTGTTAATCCCAAACTCCCAACCCTAACCTCCATCCCTCCCCTACCTACTCTCCCCTTGGCAACCACAAGTCTGTTCTGTATCTGTGAGTCTGTTTCTGTTTCATAGATATGTTCATTTGTGTCGTGTTTTAGATTCCACATATAAGTGATGTCGTCTTGTATTTGTCTTTCTCTTTCTGACTTAGTACGATAACCTCTCGGTCCATCCATGTTACCGCAAATGGCATTATTTCATTCTTTTTTATGGCTGGTTAATATTCCATTGTATATACATATCACATCTTCTTTATCCATTCATCTGTTGATGGACATTTAGGTTGTTTCCATGTCTTGGCTATTGTAAACAATGCTGCTGTGAACACAGGGGTGCATGTATCTTTCAAATTATAGTTTTACCGGGGTTGATGGATTATATGGCAACTCTATTTTTAGTTTTTTGAGGAACCTCTATACTGTTTTCCATAGTGGCTGCACCAATTTATATTCCCACCAACAGTGTAGGAGGGTTCCCTTTTCTTCACACCCTCTCCAGTATTGGTTATTTGTAGACTTTTTAATGATGGCCATTCTGAGCAGTGTGTGGTGGTACCTCATTGTGGTTTTGATTTGCATTTCTCTAGTAATTAGTGGTGTTGAGCATCTTTTCATGTGCCTATTGGCCACCTGTATGTCTTCTTTGGAGAAATGTCTGTTTAGGTCTTCTGCCCATTTTTCGATTGGGTTGCTTGTTTTTTTGTTATTGAGTTGTATGAGCTGTTTGTATATTTTGGAAATTAAGCCCTTATCAGTTGTATCATTTGCAAATATTTTCTTCCAGTCAGTAGGTTGTCTTCTCATTTTGCTTATGGTTTCCTTTGCTGTGAAAAAGCTTATAAGTTTGATTACGTCCCATTTGTTTATTTTTGCTTTTATTTCTATTGCCTTGGGAGACTGCCTTGTCATATTTCTTAAACTCTATCATTTTTGTCTTTTAAGAGATCCAGTTCTTAGATTATTGAACAATTCCATTTTTCTATTACCTAATTCACTTTATGCATTTGTATTTATTGTCTTCTGTCTGCTTTTCATAACTTTTTAAAACAACTTATTGATTAGTTCATTTTTATTTTCATATATATAAATAATTAAAAGACATTAGGGACTCAGAATTTAACTGAGTGCATTTCTGTTCACATTCCAACATTCCAAAAGTTGTTTTTTCTCGCAGTAGAAAAATGTTAGTCAAGATAAATTACATTTCTGATAAAGTTATTAAAGAAAATTTTAAAGCGTATAGATAAAATAGGAAATTTAAAACCATCCACATTCCTACTACCCAAAGATACCTAATAATATATATTGATTTATGTCGTTCCCACCAAATGTGTTTTATAAAGTATAGTTTTTAACCTCTTTCTTCAGTTAACAATGAGCTTTTTTCTTATAATATCCTTCAAAATCTTGTTTATTCGTGTTGCATAGTATTCCATCATATAAATTTATACATTTAACCAGTTTTTGACAATTAAACATGTTTATATTAATCTATGAAAACTAGAAGGCTTTTGGTATATTATTGCCAACTTGCCTTTAGAACTTGTATGAGTAGGACTTGATGAAGTGGTTTTTTTCTATCCTTTTACAAATACCATGTGTTAAAATTTTAGAACATCTTTGCCGCTTTGATAAAAATGGTAATTTGTTTTATTTCATTGATTATCAAAGTGATGTCAAACATTTCTCACAGTCTGTTGGCCATTTGTATTAATTTCTTTATGAATTGATTTTTCATGTGCTTTTGCATAGTCAGCTCTGTATTTTGGGGGTTCAAAATTACTCCTTTCTCTTATTCTATTTATCTACGTAAGTTTGCCCCCATTGGCTATGCTTGTTTCAGTGATCCTTTTTTTTTGTTTTTTTTTTTTAAAACTAGATTTCATACACTAATAATAGGCCAAAATTGTCAGGTTGTCCATTTTTTTGTATAAAATAACACTGTGCTGTACACTTGCACACAGATACTTTTGTATATTTCTGATTATTTCCATAGCCTAAGTTCTTAGAAATGGAATCCCTTTTGA